AGAGTTATTTTATGCGAATTCAGTTAAGAATATTTGGGTTAAATAATAAATCTCTTTTTTTTGAATTTTATATTATGTATTAATTTTATAATTTGGTTTGGCAGTAATGGTAGACTGCCAAATTTTTATACAATAGGCTTATATTTCTGCAGTAGTTTAGTTTTAAGAGCCCTATCAGGAATGGTATTTAAATTGATTTTTTTTTCATTCTATCAAGAAAAGTATCAGCATAATTTAAAAAAAAATTTTTTTTGAAACAAAAAAAACTATTATATAATCTACTCTAAGCTATACTTTATTAAAAAAAAAAAGATAATGATAATACTTTCCTGCTAAATCCCATGTAATATTGTCTATATATACTTTATTTGCAATTTAGTTATATCTAATCAGACCCGAACATGTCTGTGAACTTTGAACCAAACTTCAAACTAAACTTAGACTTGGTTAAAAAGTTCATGATTGAACTCGAACTGAATATAATCTTAAAAAAAGTCTAAGTTTAAGTTTGGTTTGAAATTGAACCAAACTCAGACTTAGCCAAAAGTTCAGTTTGGTTCAGTCTAATAGGAGCACTAAGTAGCACTCCAAAAGATAGCATAATATATAAACATAATAGCAGCAGACAATATATACTAATTAAGATTAATATTACTAAATGAGTATGTACTGTATATAGAACATGATATATGATATCAGGTTTATTTTAAAAATAAGCCAAAAGGAGTTCTAAAGTGGGTACTAAAAGCTAGAGATATTACAAAAAATTTTTATTTATGAATATTGAGTTACTCTTGGGTTAGATATAATGGATTTGGATTATAAACAAAAAGTTTAAATATATAACTTTCTAGTTGGGTTGCAGATATAGCAAATAGTGTAAAACCTTTAGGTAAACTACTTAAATTAGGACCAAAAGTGCATATATAGCTAGTTGTATTTTATCATAATTGTAATAAGTTTTGAATACTTAATAAAATAGTCTCTGGCTAAAAAGGTCACTTTAATAGTGAAAAAAAAACTAATACTCATATATAGGTGTGGCAACTTAGTAAAGTGATAGAGTTATCATATTTTCAAATAGCAGTTCTAAAGTTTGAATCTTACAAATAATGAATTTAAAAAATAGGCTATAACATGATTAATAGTATTGAAAGTTAGTTAGATCTAGTAATATGTAATCTTAGTTACACTATTTCAAATAGAAGCTTTGGTGCAATAAATTAAGAAAACCAGATTTATTGAAAACCTATTTGGCAAGTCTCAAATTGAGAGTAGTAGTGATTTTTAATAGTACTACAGGAGGGCCAAATTCAGAACCAGGAACTGATATCAAAAAACTGAATAACCAGATTTTTAAGTAGGGAGATATACTAGCCAAACTGCCAGATTGTTACTGAAAAAAAAAAGACTTGTGCTCTAGAAGCATGTATTAAGAGGAGGGTGACTATAAGGCACCTAAAGCCTAGACAAACCAACTCTTCTGGGTTGCTAGCTAGAAGTAAGAAAGTAACTAATAAGGAATCTAAAAAAAAAGTTGAAATGTGGGTACTGGGATTATTGTAAACCTTGTAAGAACAAAGAGTACATAATAGAAAACTAATTAAGAAGATTGTGGCTTGAAATACAAATTAAGTTATAGCAGTATTTAAAAAGATAGCTTAAGATATAAACCCAGTGATGACAGCACAACAAGTACTAATTAGAGGAAAGTTACTGAGCACACATGTAAGTATATAAGTGAGACATGTACTGTTCTTTTAGGTTTACTACAAGAATAAATATTGGAGGATAAAGTCTTAAGGTCTTTAATAGTAAATTATCTTGAAAGAATATATTAGGAGGAATATGGTACAGGTGTTGAAGCCAGAGAGTTTAAATAGATAGCTTCCTAGTTAGACTATAGATATGGCAGCTAGTGTAGAACTTTAGAATAGACTACTTAAATTAGACAACCAAAAGTTGTATGTGTGGCTAGTTGTACTCTTATGATACTACTGTAGCATGTTGCTAAAATCTTCAGATTCTGCAATACCCGTTTGTACTAATAAAGTACCAAGGGCCTAAGTGGTCACCTTAATATATATATAAAAAAAAAACTAATACTCATATATCAACAAGTGTGATATATTCTTTGACTGTTATAGAATTAGTATTAAAAAAGATTATATAATATTGACATTTATATCTTTATAAAATTGAAGCTGAAAAATAATAAATATAATAAAAACAGAATTGGAATTAAAAGGAATAAATATAAAACATTCTTTTATTATTAAAAGTCAGATAATATAGAAAATGCTAGTGGTATAAATAATTATGATGTTTTTATTATTTCATAACTAGAATTATAAAAAATGAACATAAAACATTAGAATGTTACAAAAAGGCCGCTAATATTATTTTAGAGAAATAGTTAATATTAATGAATATTACCAGAATAGAGAAAGAGGTATTTGAAGAGCTAATTATTAGTAGCGAAAATTAAGTTATAAAAAATTTTGTCTGAAGAAATTAATAATATGTTAAAAGATCTTAAACAATGAAAAATATAAATTACCATAAATAAATTCAAAATTATTGAAGAAATAAGAAAAGTAAATTTGCTACTGTCTTTATATATTAGTGTTGAAAAGGATAAACATAAGATAGTTGATGCTAATAAATTATTCTGTATAATGTTGGATGCTGATACTTTTCTTTTAAAATTAAAGGTTGAATTAGCCTGCATTGGAATTATCATGATTTCTATTGCGAGGTATTGTAAAAAACATTAGCACGTTGATATAGTTAAAGGTTGGGTTAGCTTGCATTAGAAATTATTATAATTTCCATCACAAGTTGTTTTAAAAATTCTGCTTCTATTACTGATTTGCCATTGCAGTACCACCCAATACTTGCAGTTAACGATTAATTTGCATTAGAATTATTGTGACTTTTATTGTAAATTACTAAATTTCTGTTACAGTGCTTACTTGCTATTTCAGTAATTTACAGTATATTGTTAAAGTTGAATTGGTTTGCATTGGACCTTATTGTTTTACTACAGATAAGGCTATGTTAGTTGTATTGAAATGATCATGATTCCTGTTGTGAGTTACTGTAAAAAAATTCTAGTAAAAGTATATAGTTAAAAGTTTTTTCATCGCAAAAATTCTATTTCTGTCACTGAACTTATTCACTATTGCAGTATCACACAATATTTGTAGTTAAAGGTTAATTTGCACCAGAATTATAACAACTTATATCGTAAATCACCAAATTCTGCTACAGAACTTACCTGCTATTCTGTAACACACAATATATGGGTAAGGTTGAGTTAACTGTATTAGATTTAGAAATTTTACTCTCATTTTGAAATAATGCATATATATATATTTAAAATAGTATACAGTTAGATATAATTTCATTCTTATACTGTATCTAGTATTAAAGAAATTAGCAAAAAAGGATTTGGTTATATATTCAGCAACTTGGATTGAATAGTATGCAAAGTTTATTATATTGTAATAAATAGAAATTATCTTCATTTTGGTTCTAGGGCAATTATGTTGTGCAGCGAGAGATAATTAAATTTATTAACTGAAGCACGTTTGTTATTCGACTAATTGTATTTTCATATACATTTAACCGATTGCCTCTTTCATAATCGCAAATCACATAAAATCTCTACATATTCACTGCTTGAATTACTAAACACGTGAGACATTTATCTATTATCAACGTCTAGTTATATCGAGTGTAACAGTTATTTTGACATGCAACATTTATATTACATTCTGGATTATGTATTTACGGAATTTTTTTTTTAGAATTTAGATTGATTGTCGAAATGTTGTTCTTCGAGATTTTAAATGCCAGGAAAGATACCATCGGGATTTAGTTCTTCGGGATGTCATACAAAACCCTAATTTGTAATCATAGTGCATAGACATGGTGTCTGCTTCGTTCCGGATCATAACCCCAAATTATCACTTAAAAATCTCTAATATGTATAACATGCTTTATTTAATAATTAAACATATAACTAATATGACATAAAATATGTTATCATAAAATTAAGAAAATTCGTGAATTTCTCTGTATTATATATTTATATAATTGTTACGGCTTTTTCGATTTAGTTGGATGGACGGTCTGCATAATTTTTTTTTTTTTTTAGCCCGCGAGTCCGTGAATACACTAGAGATAACCACTTTATATTCGTCGTATTTTGTGGAAATTCTTTATCATTAAAAGGGAAATATATGATTCTAAAATGAGTTCTGTGAAATATGACGAAGCTGAAGTGATTCCTTTATTGTAATCACAGGACTCGCAGTGAAAAAAAAAATTATGCGGATTGTCGATCCAACCAAATCGAAAACAGCTGTAAATCTATTCCAAGTGTAGAAATTAGAAAAGAACTAGACATAGAATATGCTTCAAGTTGGGGGCTAGGGGCTTCTGTGAATGAATTCTTTTTAATAATTTCCTCAGCTCTTTCTATTTCATTTTTTATTTATTCACATGGTTCATCAGGGGAACAAACCCAGGTTTTTACAATCTCTATAATCCCTTCTATTGTTGGTCGATTGTCGGGATTATTATCCCAACATCTTATCATTAATTTTTTATAAAACTCAGGAACTCCTTTGATTTGTGGTCGTTTTCCTTCAAGAATATTTAGGATTAATCTTACATCATTTGGATCATTCTTAAATGGTGCACAACCACTTCCGAGTACATACATTATTGATCCAAAACTATATATATCCGAAGCTTTTGTAAAAGGTTCACCTCTTAAAACTTCAGGAGCAATATAAGGCAATACTCCGTAAATCGTTCCACTATTAGAGGACTCCTTTAAAGGTTTACAAAACCCAAAATCTGTAATTGTTACATGATATAATATATTTCCAGGGTGAAGATCTTGATGTACAAGATTACGAGAATGAATTGTGGAAATCCCTTTAGCCACTTCGTATAGGATATTTAATCTTTCGTTTAATGTAATAAATTTAGAGATTTTTTTTTGAATTGTTAAATAATTTTGAAAGATCGATTCCACTGTATTCTACGACAAGTAAGTACTCGCCAGTTTCAGGGCGTCTTGTTACTCCGAAACATCTAGTAATTCCTGATACTCCCGAAATTTTGCGATATTGTTTTAACTAATTATAGTAAAGAATTCAATATTAATATTGAAATTTGTTAAAGAGCAACGATCTTGATCAGAATAATATTACCTCATACAACAGATAATCTAAGCCATTAATTGATTTGCTAAACCTTTTCAAAATTACATGAACATATCCATTCTTTTCTGATGAAGCACGTTCGAATTGGCATTTGGCCATATTAAATTCATTAATATAACCAGTGTGCCATTCTGCTGAATATACGATTGCAAATCCTCCTTCTGCAAGGTATACTATATTTACCAAGTCCTCATATGGGATCCACTCCATAATGGCATTAAATGATTCAAGATTACTTTGAGAATCACGTAATAATTCATCAACTTCATCATTTTCACTAGTCCAATTAGAAAAGTTTTTAGTGAGAAAACCTTTCTCATTTATAATATCAAGTTTTTCTTTTTCATCTTTAATTACATTTTCTTCAGTATCTCCAATCAACCTGTAGCCATGTGAAAATGTGACTTTTTCTGTTGAAAGAATCCCTTCTTCTTCTTTAGGCCACACGTATGATTCAGGTATCCCACCCCATACAGCAAAATGTATTTGAAAACTAACCGGTCCACTATAAATTATTGGTAAATTTACTAATGACAAGCTATGCCAAAGTTTATAGGCCAATAGTTTTGAATCATCATAATCCAATGGGTTTTTTCGCAATTCTATATGTACAGTTTCATTTTCTTCTATCGTAAAGCATATTGACAGATTAAATCCACTACTTTTATCCATTAAAGAGAAGTGCTCCAGGACTACATGATCTATCTCTGATATGTAATCAATTTGTGAGGGTACACACATTCGGTCATCGAGTTTACTTTCAGAAGTAAGTAATTCAATTTCAGTCAATTCCACGATATGCTTTTTTTTATTTCTTTCATCTTTTACAATTATAGGTTTCTTTGGAGCATGGTCCCATTCTAACACAAAGCATGTATTTTCATTCAGTCTTATGTTGAGGTAATTACGAGAGATAAGTGCTTGGTGAATATGTTGAAATGTATTATTTGTTAAAAATAAAACAAAGCCATCCTAGATTATTCGAACTGAATCAGTAGTTTGTTGTGGCAAGAATGTAACGAAACAGCCACCAAGTCGACTTGAAAGGCAGCCTATACCATTTGCATTAAGTTCTTTAAGATTACCATCCCAGACTAGACAAGAATTTGCTTTTCTATCTAACCCAGTTAAAATCGTTAACGCATATTGAAACTCTGTTTCTGAGTAAGCCTTACATATACTTTCGTGAGTATTAGGTGAAATATTCAATCTTATTGTTTTGTTTTTTATACATGTTACTCGCACTTCCAAATTTATGATCTTTATTCCCACCATGTTCAATATACTTGATTTCATATCATTCATTGTCACAACACTTTCACGGAGCCTATCATTCCATGGAGGGAAAGGAAAATATCTTTCAGCGTTACCCATTTGAGATAATAAACGGGATATGCCATAATTCATGTATACCTCATATTCTTCGTTAGTAATTAAAATAGCATGTAAAACATGAGATGGTAAATCAATTCCAATCGGCTGCCTTTCTGTATATATTATTTTATTCATATCTGCTCTGGAAAATATAATTTCACCCATTTTATCATCAAAATAACTATATTCACCGATGTCAACTGTTGACCCTTTGCATGCTAAAATATAAAAGGCATGATATAAAACTTTAATATTTATGGGAAAATCATCTTCATTCTCATCTTCATTACGGCGAAGTGTGAAATAAATCTCTTTTTGCCTATGAATAGATAATCCACGTGATAAGAAAGTCCAACATGCTATTTGAAATTCGGGACGCTTTTTTTTTTTGAAAAAAAAATTATACAATTATGTTTTTATTATGTATCTTTTTTTAAATAAGATAAGGCCGTTCAAAGTTGAATAATTGATAAACTTCGTCCTTCCATTTTGATTAACTGTCCTCTGCCTTCTAAGAAATTAAACAAACCAGTCAAATAACATTAATCACGCGATTAAAGTGACTAACGAGATTTAATCAAATATTCTAGAGCATATGAATGCCGCAGAGCGAAAGCCTAGTAAATGATTTTTTAAGATTTCATTATGTTACGCAACACTATGATTCTTCTGGTGCTAAATTCGTTACGTTAAAATTTACGGTTTCATTCATGGATTTTTTCCCTGATGCATCCATATATGTGTTTGTTTAAATCACCATTAACCAACAAATCAACATTGAACAGCCTAATATATGATATTCAATGAAACTTTTGCTAATTACCTTTTGAGGAGGTGCATCAAAATCCGAATAATCGATAGAATGGCTATAAACAAGAAGTTGAAGTTTGTTTGGAATAATTTCTAGAATGGTATATAGCGATTTGGTAGATGGCATCTCTAAGTTTTTTAGATGATCTGATTTATTACCAAAATTACGTTTGGTAGGTGACGCTGGCTCTAAACATTTCGGCATATGTTTCTTAACCCGTTTTATGTCGTTAAAAATCGACAATTCAAGATCATTTTTATAATCAATTTGTAGATAGTTATACAAGTATATCTTTTCTTCATCCCTTAATGATTTATCATCATAAATCTGCTGACTTAAAAATAATATTTCTTCATTTGGTGTGAATGATTGAAATTTGTATATAAAAAGCCTGCAATTTTAATCCGTGAGAAAAAGAATACATTTTCAGCTTCATCAAGATTGCCAATTCCATTCGCAAATTTATTAAGAAATTTTAAAACTTGCTGAGCTTCTGAGAAGATATTTTGGAAAAAATTTTGAAAACGATATTCCATATAAAATCTATGTTTCCTTTATAAAGTTTACAATCATAAACTGGCTGAACCAAAATCATATGTTCTGATGTTGGGGATTTTTTTTCTGGGCATAAAATAAATATAATCTGAAGCCATGCAGACAAGAACACATTTTTAGGAAATTTATTTGTAAATTTATCAAAAAATTCTAAAACTTCTTGGTCAGTTGAAAATGTTTCCCTAGAAAAAAATTCAACAATTATGTTCCATGATAAATATGCGTCATGTAAATTTAGTGTTACATTTAATAATCTATCTTCAGCGATTTGTAATCGATTGAGCAAACAGATAATCTCGTTTATATTAAGCAAGCTATCATCTTTATATATGACTAAGATCATAAACTCGACTATTTGGTGTCTTGTTGAAAACGAATTTTCAATCAACGAATTAATAGCCTCATCCCATACTTTATTTGTTTTCTTTACATCAACTTCCTCTACTATGAATAAATCATCGTAATTCTTTAACTCTTCAATGAAACAGACGATTTCATATTTTACATCACCCAACAAATTTTCTGATAAATGTTTATTTATCGATTCTTTAAAACATAGATTGAGAGCTAGTGTCCATTTCCTTTTTATTAAATTTTGACTAACCTTAAGACTGTCCATGATTCTAAACTTTAGCGCGTGAATGATGATAAAACAGAAAAAACTTGTAGCATCAGGCTTTTTAAGAAATTCTAAGTTACACCAATTCAGCAACTGGATTTGTGGAAGATCGACGTGTGTAAATATTTTTTATTGTTCTATGTCCTAAATAATATTTATATTGTCAGTCTTGATTTTGTTTATAATTGTGTTCCATTTGCACAGTTTTGGTATACGGTTCTTTAAGCAGAGGTCTTTTCAGGAACGGAGTGATATGTAATATCATGAAGTTTATGGTCACTATGGCATTTTTAAATGTGTACATCCGCAAAATCTTATACCTGATTGAGCAATGTGCTAAACGCAGTAAAAACGGGAATTTTGCACTTAAACATCACGATATGCATCACATAGCACTATATTTATCCATTGTACGAGAATTGTTTAACTATACATCGATTTAACAGGTTTTTGTCTTGATTAAAGTTTATGAAAAAAATGTCTTTTTTTTTTTGTTATTTCATTTGGAACTGCATCTTTTACTTAAAATACATACCTGTTATTTGGATGATTTGTTAAACGATTTTGTCCTTACTGGGTGCAACAGGAATTGACCAAATAAAGCGTGGCTTAGAGTGCCTGCCGTCACAATATACTTGCGGTATATTGTTAAGTTCATTATGTTTTATAATTTTGTACATTATATCTTTGACATGTCTTGCTAAATAAAGTAACCAGAGTATGTATTTGTCAAACAAATATGGTAAAGGTATTTCTTAATACATAAAAAATATCATCAAATTCTTATTAACCTTAACTTGATCTGTTTACCTCTCCGAAAGCTTGTTGAAAATAATATTTGTATTGTTTGATAAAGTCTTATGATTTCTCGTCAAAGCCTTGAGAATTATGCTATGTTGTATGATCATGTTCTAAAAATATCCGTAATTCTTATAATTTATATAAAATAAGTAATCAAAGTGTGTATTTCGTAATCTGTGATTGCGTACTATTGTGAACCAATTGAGTCAAACTCTACCGCAGCAAAACTGAAAAAGAGAAAAAATAAAAATCAATATATATTTAAACTAGGGCTGTTAGTTGGTCTATCTGGTCTTCTTTAAAAAGTTAGACCGGACTGCGGCCCAGAACTGATCTGTATGAACTGGATGAATGTTAGACTAATTAAATGCACCAACATAATAATATTTACTAATTCGATGGGTGTTTTTTTCGCTTTTTTTAGGGCTAGGGTTTAGGGTTAGATTTGTTATTTAACGAATATAGGTGGATTTTATGTTTTTAAACAGAGCCCCAAATTTCAGCTTCAACTGCGACATTTACTTATTTATTTACCAATTTTTTATTATTTATTTATTTATTATTATTATTATTATATTATTATTATTTGTGTAATAACATCATGTCAGTTTCTGCTTAGATCCTAAATTTTAAAAGCAATTCCCAAACATTTAGGTTATTTACGTGAACCGAATTGCCGGGATGCTTATCTTGCGCTCACGTTGATTCATAAAGACAAAGAATTCCTAAACTTTTTACATGTTCATACCAAAATTGATTTGAACATTAAAACCAGGAGTTTGAGCTTTTGAACATAACATTATTGGATAAGCAATGATTCGTACCACGTTAAAACCGTTAAAATGGATTATCATAATTTTGGTTACATTACATTGTCCAGTTACAGGAAGTTTAAACTTTCATTGCATAATTACCAAAATTAGTATTCTTAACTAACTCATTCATATGCGTGTTGCTAAAAATTATTTCCACTAGTAAATTGATAAGAGATATAAATTTGGCTTATCGTCAACGACAGTATGATTTTATGTTACAGTGCAACATTTATTTACCAATCAGGCTTTCAGGCTTTTGAGAACAAAAGGTCTATTGTAGATAATTTTAGATTAATCAAACACTAATAATCGTATGATTTGTTAATAGTGGAAAAATTGTAATTATATAAATGCCGATCGTCCACCAAATGCAAACAAAAAATAGAAGGAGGAGAAAAACTGTCTGCCAATATCTCAAGAATGGCTGGGTCATTTTTGAGAATTTAATTATGTGAATTTCTTGAAATATTGCGTGATGAATGATCGTTAATAATAAAGTCATAAACCAGTGACAAAAAAAAAAAATTCAGCATCAATATTTCGAGACTTAAATGATTGGTACGAATTTTAGTAATCGATTGAGATAACTTAAATTACCTACTATTATCGAGACATCTTCATTCATCTTTTACAATTATAGGTTTCTTTGGAGCATGGTCCCATTCTAACACAAAGCATGTATTTTCATTCAGTCTTA